GTGGGGCGGCCGGGCGCGGGGCGAGGCCGGACCTTCCACGGCCACGCTGGCCGAAGAGTTGACGCAGCCCTTGGCGTTGCACACGCTGCACAGGTAGCGGCCCGCGTCCTCCTCGCGCACGCGCTGGATGCTCAGCTTCTGGTTGGAGTCGGCCAGGTCGATTCCTGCGGGAGTTGGGGCGCAGGTTCGAGTCTAGGCCTTGGCCTCCTGCACCTCCGCACCCCGAGTCCGGGGCCGCTCCCTACCGGACTTTTCCTCCAGCAGCCTCTCGTCTTTGTACCACATGATGCTGGGCACGTGTGTCCCCGCCACCGGGCACCGCATCTCCAGGGAGTCGCTCACGTTCACCAGGAGGTCGGTCAAGTTCTGCGTAAGCCGCGGGGCTTCCAGGGCTGGGGGCAGGAGTCAAGAGGGAGCTAAGTGGGGTGCAGAAAGCCAGAGGCCACCAGGAAGGGGGCCTCCAGAGAGGAGAGGGTGGAGACTGAGGGCACGAAGCTGAACGAAGGGGCCGAGTTGGCCCCCTTGGCCCTGCCGGCCTCACCGTGCACCGACAGGTACTTCTTGTGGCAGTGCTTGTCGTGGCTGTGACGGTCCTGCACCTCGCACACGTAGTCGCCCTCGTGCTCGGGTGCCACGTGGGGGATGGTCAGGCTGAGCGTGGCGTGGCGCGCCCCCGGCGCCGCCTCCTCCAAGCTGGCGGCCAGCGGCGTGGCAAACAGGTGCACGTTCTTGCAGTCGAGCAGCAGCGGGTTCCCGTGTGCGTCGTGCAGTGTGGACAGGTTGAGGCGGTACCAGCGCAGATTCTCGTAAGTGTAGTTGTCGGCCTGGCAGCTCAGGCGCACGGCCTGGCCCTCTAGGGGCTCCTCCGATGGCTCCGATTCAATGCTGAAGCCGTCGGGGATGGCTGGAGCGGAAGGGAGAACCGCCCTGACATTGTGACTCACCCGCCAGGTGCTTGCTCTTCCTTTCCCGTTGGCCTTGGGACTCACTCAGCTCTCAACCAAAGGTACCAGTCAGGTAGATGTGGGCCAGGGACACCACCCAGAGTCTTCTTCACCCCTTCACCCCTCACTGACCAGGGACTCCGATCCACAGAAGTCAGCCCCACAGGCTCTCCTCCTGCCTGCCTCCTTCCAGCTCTCTCTTGGACATGCCCCAGCCCACTTCTGTCCCCACCTTTCCCAGCTGCTGCCTCTCCCAGTAGCCCCATCAGTAAGATTTTTGTCACCAGACCCAGTGGGGGCCTGAGTCTCCATCCTGCCTTGCCACCGTCCTCCACACCCCACCACTGTCCTCTCCGTGGAGCAATCTCATTGCTTCATTAGCTTTCAGCTTCAGCTTTCTTGCTCCGATTTCCTCTGGCCACTCCTCGTCAGGCTCCTGTGGGCTCCTCTCCCTCTCCCCCACCCAAAGCATTCTCTCTGGCTCCATCTCTCTTCCAGCACCCCTCTCCCAGACACCCTTGGGCCCAGTGACTTCCCTTTCATGGGCTTCTTAACTCTCCTGAGGTCAGTAACACGTTTGAAAAATCTGAGGAATCTATGGACCTTCTCCCCATGGCAACACACACCCATGAGCCACCTCTTCAGATCCAGGGCTTGGGAAGAGGGTGGGAGGGAGGCAGAGTTAGGTGGAGCTTCAGGGAGCAGGATGGCACCCCTGGTGAGGAGGTGCCTCCAGGACTTAAGGCAGAGGGTGCCACTCCATCCCGGTGGACCAGCATGGTCTCCAAATCTATCCCTCTTACCCAGGCGCAGGGCCTCGTGGGCCCTGGATATCTCTCCTGGGTGCCCCACAGTCACCAGAACCTGAGTGGTTCCCAACCTGGTCTCATTCTTCTCTCCCAGGAGACTCTCATGCCCTCATGGTCCCTGACCTCCACCACAACCGCCCAAGTCACTCACTGGTCACGTAGAAGTAGATGAGCCGCTCGTCTTGGCCCACCTTGTTGAAGACCATGCATTTGTACATGGCGGACACATTGGCGTCCTGGATCACCAGCTTGCTCACCGTCTGGGCAAAGCACAGACAAAGGATCTGTTTCCTGCCTGTGTCCCCCCACCCAACCTTCCCTTTCTGCAAGGAAGCCGCTGTGCCCATCAGAGTAATGGGGGAAATGGAGGCTCTGAGCTGGAGGTGATGGAGTTCAAGGCCAGGGATATAAGGCATGGAAGAGAAAGTAAGGCCTTCAGGTAGCAGAGGGAGGGGCTCGTCAGAAAAGTCAGGGGACAGTGCTATGGACAGCTGGCATCAGCAGTGGCTGGGGTCAGACAGTGGCATAAGGTACGGCCAGAAAGACTTCTGGCTGTAGATGTGCTTAGGCTGTGGCCATTTGAGGAGAGGACAGGGGCCTAGTGGTGCTGGGCCAGTCCAAGCCAGGGTCAGGATTCAGGCTGGGGTCACATCAAGGGTCAGGCTGTGGCCTAAGATGAGCAGCAGGTCATCGTGTGAGATCCTTGCAATAAGTGCACATTTGCTCCAGGGCTGCCCACAGCACCTCTCTCAGTGCCCTGGGTAGTGGCAAGAGGAGGGGCTGGGTCCTAGACGTCCAGAAGGACTCTGGCCTAGGGGAGTAGGAAGCTTGGAAGCAGGGAAAGGAAGAGGGCCACAAGCCCTGCCTACCATCCAAAGAACCCCCTACTTTAAGCTGGGCACTTCCTGGCCAGGCCTGGAACAGGAAGAGCTCTGGAGGTGTGTAGGAAAACAGGAAGTGACTGTAGGAAGTGGGTGCCTTTGTTCAGTCCCTCCCCTGCCTGGCCTCTTCTAAGTGTTGCCCCCAGGCTGGGCCAGAGCTCAGCAGCCTTTGGTGGGGACCAGGCCAGCCCCCAGCCTGGAGCCAGTGGGCAGCTGGAGCCCATGAATCTTATCTGTCTTTCTTGGGAAGGCAGCCGGAGGTGCTGCCCCCCACATGCGGGCAGGAGAGCTGAGGCCCGGAGACCTGCAGAAAGGCCACGCACTCAGCTGCTGTGTCAGAGCCCTGCGGGCCTGGTGGAAACCGAGGCGGGAGAGGGCTCCCCCCCTTCCCTTCGCCTTCTCCCTGCCAGTCAGCAGCATGGCTGGCCCATACCTTGTTCTTCCCCTCCACAAACTCGGTCCAGCTGTCTAGGCTCTCAATGGGGTTCACAGCGTCCTGCGTGGTCACCTCTCTCCAGTCCCGGCACTGTGGCATGCGGTCTCGCTGTTGCCGCCTGCTGCTGGGGACCAGGGTGGACAAGGACCAGTCAGAGGCATGGGCGGGGAGGGCCCACAGTGGGGGTAAGGTTGAGCCTTTGTCATATTCAGGGCTGTCTTCTGCATTGCGGTGGGTAAGGCTGGCCTTTGGCCGGGGTGAGCAAGGGGTAGGAGCATTTGCTTCTGGAGCACCGTCTCCACTCTTTATGTCCAGGGCCCTGTAACCCACCCTGTGGGGGCTGCCAGACACAGCTTTCTGCGGCTCTGTGGTTGCCCTCCAGCATGTTGTGCCCTCCCAGCCCCCATTCACATGTGCGCCTCCTGCAAAGTCACCCAGATCCCCAAGGGAGCAAAGTTAGCACTCCTGCTCCAGGAAGCCCTCTTCCCTCCCTCCCTGCAGCCCCTCCTTGGGCCAGGTGGGATCTGGGTCTCCCACTAGGATTTGGGGCCCCTGGGGAGGCTTGTATCTACCCCTAGCAGAGCACAGCGGCCCCAGAGCACTGGCAGTTGGTAAAAACTAATGGTAAAGCATCAGAGGGAAGCAAATTTGAGGTACCAGCAGTGACCCACAGCCTTGTGATCTAGAAGAATCTCTTATGAGCCTTGGACATTGTGGGCTCAGGCCCACAGGCCACCCCTACTTAGCCTTCCATGCTGATCATGCTGGGGCCACAGCCCCTCTACCAGTGCTGCTGCCTTGTCCCCTCCCTTGGTTCCCGGCTTCTGTCCTTCCCTAGCCTGTGACCGACCATCCAACCCGCTAACAAGGATCTCTTGCTAAATGGCAAATATGACCTGAGACTCCTCTGCTCAGCACTCTTCCCTGGCTCCCTAGTGCCTTCCAGACCTCTGCCTACTTTTGCACCCTCCTCTCCTGTCCCCTGCTTGTCCAAGCTGTCTCTGCCCTGAGAGTTCTCCCCAGCCTGTCTGTCCTGTTGGCGCTGAATTCAGTGTAAGCATGGCCAGCAGCTAGGCAGGCTCTGCTGCTTAAAGCTGTGACCTTGGAAAAGTCACATCCCTTCTCCAATCCTCAGTTTCCTTTTCTGTAAGGGATGATTGTAAGTGCTGCACAGATGAGCTCATGAACATGGGCATGCTTGGTGTGCCATGTGGCTCAGGACAAATCTTGTGAAAAGTGGCCCAGTTCTGCCCGCTTGGCAGGAAGTGTCCTCCTGGATGCCCAGAGGCATACTCCTTGGTTCTCTGATGATAGTTTTGTGCCTGGGGGCTTTGCTCTCCAGGTAGGTGGGTGGGCCTGACTAATGCAGGGAGGGTCTGAGCCTTGCTCAGATGGGATGATGTCAGGGATTGGCTACAGAGCAATCATGCCAGGGTTTGAGTTTAGAGCAGGGCTCCTGGGAGGGGTGAGTGGCAGTGAGTGGAGGTTATGTCTGAGTTTGGGGACAGGGCTGGCAAGTAGGGAAAACAGGCTGGAGCCACACTCACAGGCTGCGCTGAGTGAAGGTCTTGCAGGGCGTCCACGGCCGCCAGTACCACTGGACGCTGAGAGGAGGGGGCACCCCGTAGGCAGTACAGGTGAGGGCCTGTCGACTGTGGCGGGAGTAGATGCTGGGGGAGGAGGCCTCCTTCTCATGGATGTTGGGGGGCACTAGAGGCACAGGCAGGCAGTTGGTCAGCCGGCCACTTGACCACACCCACTGCCCACCTACCCCTCTTCCATCCCACCCACCCCTACCATTCACCACCAGCTCCAGGCTGATGTTGCGCTTCAGGCCGGCCATGGAGTTCCACAGGGCAAGAGTATAGATGCCTGCACTGGCCTCTGTCACTTCCTTGAGCACCAGGGCATGTGGACTGTGGCGCCCCGAAACAGCCTTTCTGTCCTTGTACCTGGCCCAGGAAAGGAGTTCAGGGTGCTTCATGGACCCGGCCCAGCCCCATCCAGGCACGCTTTCCCTGCAACACCCCAACCCCTACAATGGGAATGTACTGTCAGGAGGCAGGACCCCTGCAGACCAGGAGGCTGCTGGGAACAGGGTAGGGCAGCGGACTCTGCACTGGGGAGCAGATGGCCTAACAGCTATGGAGGTGGTCTCCATGCATGACCACAACCCCGACAGGCTCAAGAACACTGAGGTCTGCGACAGCATGCTTAACAGTCCCTGCTCCCCACAGGTAGTGAGTTACTGCTCGGTGCATGTGCCTTCTCTCTGGCCATCTGTGGCCAGGGCCAGCCTTCGGCAGCCAGGCTCAGAGGCCTAGCACAGGAGTGTCCTTCCCCCTTCCCAGTAGGCCCTGTCTCTTTCTCACAGGTTTCAGTGGTGGGTGCAGTGAAGGAGGGGAGGTACAGTCCCCGGGGAGCACAGCCTGGACCCTTACCATGTTGGGGCCTTGCCTCTCTCTCGACTCTGCTCTCCCTGGAGCTTGCACTCACTGTTCCCCCCTCCCTCCAACATGCAGTCAAGTACCCAAGCATCAGACATAGCTGTTCTGTGAGCCTGGGGTCACAGGGCAGGGCCGTGCCGAAGCCACACAGCCTGCAGGCTCTGGTACAGAGTCCTGAGTCTGCTGCCTGCCTCATCTGTGATCCTAGCAAAACCCTTCACTATCTCAAGCCCCGTGTCCTCATCTGAAAACTGGGGGAATGAAATGCACCTTCTGGCAAGGCTGTGAGGTCTAACAGAGGTCTGGCACTTGGTGTCAGCCTCCTGCTGTGCACACAGAGGGCGCCTCAGAAGCTAAGGACCAGCCTGTGTGTCAGCTCCGTTTCCACCCATTCACTTACTCATAATCATCACTTACTCAAAGCATGGGCCCCTGTGGGGCTGTGGTGACCACTAGTGCCCTGGGGAAAGTGTCTCCATGAACAATGGGGCCAGCTGAGCACTTCTTGGAGGGAGATGTTGGCCAAGTGAGAAGAGAAAGACCAGATGTGGTGGGAATGGGATATGCAGCCAGCTGATCGAGGATCAGGCCTGGGCCAGATCCCAGGTGCAGCACAACCAGCCAGCCACCCAGAGCAGGGTCAGTCCTGATGGCCTTGGAGGACAGGAGCCAGGGCCCCAGGTGTCTCCTGGAGGCCACACCTGTGAGGGAGCCTCCAGGCTGCATCAGTGCCCTTCAGGACCCTGCCTTAAGGGCCTTGGTCTTGCACCAGGTATCCCCGATGGACCCCAAAGTCTGTGGCCTCAGAGGCAGGGTCACACCAGGCCCAGGACCAGGGGATCCTAAGGCCCTCCCAAGAGAAGCGTGCTTCCAGTGAACTGAGCTCCTGCTGAGAACGTCTGGAGCATCTACATGCCCAGATCCAGACTTTCAGAAGAAGTTGTTCTGTCTGAAGGAAGGTGCCCCAGGCTAAGGCAGGCAAGGCTCCTCTGGCAGCTGGGGAAGGACAGAGCAGGGCCTCCTAGGGGTCTATGGGCTCAGGTAGAAATGCCCTTCCCCTTTCCTGGCCTGTTTCCTCATCTCTATGATGGAGGTCAGGCTAGAGTGTGACATCCCAGGGCTGGGCCACGTGGACTGCTCAGACAACCTGAGGGTACATGGGGGGGTGCTGTGCCTTCCTGAGTTCTGGGGGAGCTCTTGGGAGTGCCGAGCAAGGGCCGAGCAACCACTGAGGGCCCCCCTCACTGACCCCATGACCTTACTCTTAGGTCACAGACTAAAGCTGGGGTTCAGCAGCCTGCCTCCATGAACTCACTCACTGCCACACAGCTCAGGCCTAGCTGAGGGCCTAACAATCTGTGAAACCCCTGTGGCATCTCTGAATTTCTAGATAAGGGGGCCCTGGGGTGGCAACCTGCTTGGAGTGAGGCCTAGGAAACCTGAAGCCATTGCCACAGGGCAGAGATAGAGCCCAGCGCTGTGCCCACCACACCCCTACACAGCAGGAGGCTGGCATTTACAAGTTTCACAGTTTAGCAGCAACTCCAACCAACCTTCAATTGGCTGAATTATCACATTATATGCATGTTCCTTAGAGTGTCTTCAGAGATGTTCCTCACAGGGTCTCAGGGCATAGGCCCTGCCTGGGAGGATGCTGCCCTTCTCACTCAAGGTCAGTTCTGGAGCAAGGCCTGGCAGGTAGTGAGGGGCAGAAGCCAGTACTGTACCATTGAAACTCCGGTGGGGGGTACGCTGCAAGCTTCACGGGCAGTTTCACCAGCTTGTCTCCCGCCGTGGCTTCCAGGACAGGACCCTTGAGCCACTCAACGCTGATGAAGGGCTTTTCTGCCAGATGGGAGGCATCACTGTAAATCCAGGGGCTGGCATCTCTTACCCACCACTGCCCAGGGACTCTCAGCTATGGCTCTGCACCCCCAGAGGACAGACACTTGCAGACTGGGGCTCGCTCTGTCCACCAGGGTGTGGGTACCAGGCAGGCCATCCACTCACAGCCCTCCCTTCCCCTGGGCTAGACTACACACTGCTTGGTGCATTATGACCTCTGACCCTGGGCCCAAGCTGCACATGGACCCTTGTTTCCCAGGCTTGATGACTACCTGGGCCCTGCTGGGCACGCTGACCCAGTCCAAGACGTACCGTGCACAATGACCTCGGTGCTCTCCCGGAACCGCTGGATGCCATTGTTGGCCTCGCATGTGTATGGGCCCAGGTCGTGCTGGCTGATGTTGTGGATGGTCAGGATGCTGGAGAGCTCTGTGTGAGTCTGCTGGGAGCGCCGCTCTGGCACCCACTTCCCCCGCTCAGCCTGCCCGTGCCCAGGGGAAGTCCAGAGTCAGAACAGGCAGGCTCTGGCAGAGCTGACCACCAAAAGCACACACCTAGCTCAGCCAGCAGTGCCTCCGGAGCCTGGGACCCGGACCCAGAGTTGTCCTTAGGGTGGGAGAACTTCCCCATCAGACCAAGGCTCCTGGGGCAGAGCTGAGTCCTCACCTCCTCTGTACAAAGGCCAGTGTGTGCCGGGCCAGGGCAGGTGTGGGCGGTGACGGGGACTTCTGACAGGGTGGGCACAGGGCAGGTGTGGGCAGTGATGGGGACTCCTGGAGGTGGCTCAGGCACAGCCCCTGCAGCTGCTGGCCTCACCTGCTTCCCTGGGTAGTCCCAGTCAAAGGTGACGCCGGAGTTGAACTCGGCCCACACGGTACAGTTCAGAACCAGCTTTTCCCCGACTAGCAGCTCCATCGACTTCTTGGGAAACAGCTGGATGTCATAGAGCTCGTTGCCTGGTGACACATGAATGGTGACCCCCAAGCCCCTCACCAGGACAGTGCAGAGAGTGCAGGGCACAGGGCACCCACCAAGACCAGCTGTGGCACCCACAGCCCCATTACTGAGAATTGGGGGTCTCTGCCTTCCCCACCCCAGGACGTGGGAGTGGTCACTGGGCCATGACCCTGTGGCCCCAGCAGTCCCTACCTGTGATGTGCACGATGAAAGGGTTGGATAGGAAGGACCGGCCACCCCAGGTGGTCTCACACTGCAGGTACAGGGTGTCGCGCAGCAGCGGAGTGGACACCCGCATGCCCCGGCGGTCGTCCCACACCACGTTCTGCCCATCAGGCTGCAGCACTGAGCTTTGCTGCAGGGACATGGCGGCCATCAGCACCTGGCTGCCCCTTCCTCCTGGCCAGATCAATGGCTGCATTTCCCAGGGAGAGGACAGGAGGGTTGGATCCCG